AAATACTAGGTTATACAATGTATCTTTGGGGTGGGCACCTCATGCAGCACGGGTCCTGGACTGGCCAGAGTGGGGTACTGCATGAGGCTCAGTCCTGGACCAGCTGGGGTGGGCACTGTGTGCGGTGCGAGGCCTGGGCCAGCTGGAGTGAATGCTGTGTGGGGTGCGCATCCTGTTCCCAACAGGCAGGGCTTAACTCTTCCATTATGCCTCTACTCATAGGTGGAGAACCATGGCACAGAGAGATATGGTGATTCACACAAGGTAATGCCTGCAATCTGTAGTAGACTCCAAGTCCCCTGACAGAAACATGCTTGAACCCCCACCTACTGCTTTCAGGCGTGTTTCTACAGGTGTGCTCTAGTTTTCAGCACTGAAAGGGCCGCGCTTTATGTGTAGCATGAAAACTGATTCATGGTCTATGCTCTAATGCAAGGTATCCTAATGTATCCTAATGCAAAGTATCATAATGTATGCACTATCAGGTTCTAATTTATTTTCTATATGCAGACAATTAGATACTAGGTACAGGTTCAAGAGCCTTTAACCTTTTGCCTATATCGGAGAACAGGGCACAATGCATAGTAATGGCATATTAACACTTGACTTACTCTGGAAGAAAAGGAGTATCTGTAAATCCACCGTTCATTCCTGAAGGGCACCTGGAATGCTATGGCTCTGGGCTCTTGTTTGCAATTTTGGGGAGAGATTTTCAAAAGTGCCTTGCCTAAGGGGTTTAGGAGCACCAGCTCCATTGAATGTTGATAAAAGAGAGGGGAAGAAGGACATCCTTATTTTCTTAAGAGCTATTGCAACAGGCAGCCCTTACACTCCTTTAGGCAGGAGATGATTTTGAATCTCAGATGATTTTGAGTCTCCTGCTTAAAGGAACCTGTGGTTAAAGGGCAACCTACTGAAATGACTACATTAAAATACAAGTTACATTGCCCCCCTCCCCTGTATCAGTACCCACATGTATTGCTCACAAATCAAGCTTTGTCACAATGGATTGGGAACACAAAACACCAGATCTGGTGTATGCTGTGTCTGGTCTGAATCCTGCCTCCAGAAACAGTCTGGTGTCTGATCATTCGAAGTAGGCTAGATGAACCATAGCATAATTGTTTGGTAACACATGGGAATAAGGATTGCTTCCTGACCACTGTGGTGTTCAGTCTCCTGAAGCAGAAGATATAACCACCTTTGAGCTTCTCATGGTCACAAATTCCCCAGGCTGGATATGTGCTCTGCTCCAAGGGCCGTGGAAATCAATAGGAGCTTGCAGGTTTGGGATTAGAGCTGGTATGAACAGCACTTCTTTATTTAACTGTCTTCTTATTGTGAGCAACAGAAGAGTTCTTGAAAACAAGCATACCAGTGTCTGGGGCTGACCCTTAAAATCAGAAAAACAAAGGTGCTTCACCAGCTTGCTTCGGGCCAATTAACTCCCCCAGCAAAGATCCTCATTGATGAGAGGCGCTGGAGAGTGACCTCAGTAGCAGCCTTGCCTCTAGGCCGTGTGGTGTGCACGGCTGTGCAGGCACGCTCATGCTGCATTGCCAGGTGCGCCTGCGCAGCCACGCATGCCACACAGCTTAGAGGGAACGCTGCTCAGCAGTAGAGGTGCACCGATACACTGGTCCATATCAGATCAGCACCAATAAAAGGAAAATTGACATTATCGGCCATCGGCTTTGTTTGGCTGGCATAGCCAATAATGTCACTGATAAATGCCGTGTGCAGCTGCAGCATGCATGTGGCCAGAAGTGCAGCCCTGCAGCTTGGAGAGCAGCATCTGCCCAGCAAGTTAAGAGAGTGGAGGGGAGGGAAAGGCCATGGGGAGGGAGGGCAGATCAAGGGCCCCACAGCGAGGGAGGGGCAGCGGCAGGCACTGCCCAGCCAGGGCATGGCACAGGATGGAGCTGTTGGTGGCTCGGCCAGGGGACACGGGGAAGGGGGTGAGCTCCCTGCTGCTGTGCACACCCCTGGAGGAGGCATGGGGGACATGTGCCCCCCAGATTTGTGTGCGGGGTGAGGGCAGGCTCTCCTCTGTGGGCACGGGGCCAGGAGCTGCACCAGCCTCTTCCTGGCAGGGGGGCCTGGGCCGGAGCTGCATTCAGGGTGGGCAGGGACAGGGCAGGCAGCAGCAGTGCTGGGAGGGGGCTATGTGGTGGGCTACAGTCACCCCAAAATTTGCTGTAGTCCCCCTGTAGGCCCCCTCCCAGCACCCCCGTAGCTGCTCACCCATGCTCGCCCTGAGCGCAGCCCAGGCTCAGTCCTCCCCCCTCCACTGAGCGCAGCCCCTGGCCCTGATCCTGCAGTGGGCAGCCCACCCTCGCCCCATGCACAAATCCAGGGGGCACATGCCCCTCACGTCTCCCCAAGGGGTGCACGGTGGTGGGGAGCTGCTGCCCCCCCGCTTTCTGCCCTCCGGACAAGTTGCCTCTGGCTGGGCAGCACCTTCCCCTGCCCCAGCCCCAGCCCCACTCCCTCCCTCACCATGGGGGCCTCGATCTATGCCCCTATACCCCTTCCCCCCTACAGACTTACCAGCTGGATGTTGGTCTGCAAGACGCCGGGATGCATATCAGATATTGGATTGTCATCAGCTGATATGGCTAGTTAATAATCGGCCATCGGTGTCAGCCAAAAAAATCTTTGTTGGCGCACCCCTACTCAGCAGCCATCTCTCAAAAGGCCAGCATCGACAAGGAGATCTCGTATGGGACCTGATGTGCCAGCGCTTTCTTCAGAAGACTCTGCCATCATGTGTTCAATGAACACGACATCAGGACATGAACAAAGTTCCTGTTATACAAGGCTGTGGTAATCCCAACCCTACAGCTGCGAAGCGTGGGTGACTGGAAGCCTGCAACGGCCTCGCCAACCAGCGCTACCTCCACAAGATCCTGACCAACGCCAACACCACCAGCATCAAAGCACTGATTATTCGACATCAGCTGCGATGGACCGGGCATGGTGTGCCATGTCTGATGTCCGTTTACCAGCACAACTGCTACAGTGCAAACTCAGCCAAGGACAAAGGACATGTGGGGGGCCAGAGAAAATGCTTCTAGGACAACCTCAAGGTGAACATTAAAAGGTGTGGCATTGACCGTACAAATTGGAAAAAACTAGCCTGGGACATGGCTACGTGAGAGAAAGTACACATTACTCTGAGGAAAACCATCTCACCCTGGAGGCAGAAAAACAGTAGAAACGGAAGAAAAGGAAACAAGATCGATAAATCCACAGTCCCTGTCTTTTACCGCCATCTTAGCCATCAACAAACTTATCTACAACTCTTTACTTGACTTGTGGGAGCGATCATCCTTGACCGTGGGGGATCTCCAGTGAGGATTCTTGTGAGCAAAGGCAGAGTTCTTGAAAACAAGGTAATCAGCCTTTGAGTTCAAGCAGCTGGATTAATAAAAGCCAGGGATAATTACTAATGGGGCAGTAAACCCTGTTCAATGTTTAAAGCATTGCAATTCTAAGATCTGCTAGTTTATGTTAAGAAGAAATCTAGACACTGTTGCTTGGGGTCAGACTAATGAGCCAGCTAATCTCATCTTCTGTCTTTGATCGGTATCAGAAGAAGCCACAAAATCCTCATAATGGGCAATAATGTAATGACTTGGGCATGCGACAACTACCTCTGTTACTTATTGGCAAGAATATCCCCCAAACATGAGGCCATATAGTCTTAGCCTTGCTAACGTTGTTGCTGTGAGTATTTGTATCCCTTGCATTATTCGTTATTAATATCTAATCATTCTTTGCATCCTGCCAATCTTTTAGGCCTAAGAGTATTTTACAGCAGTGAGTTCATTAATGAAGAGAATGAAAAACAAAACATCATTCACCTTTTCTTTCTTCACTTTGATTTTGCGAGGAACTGGAACATACGTGCTGTTAAAGAAGAGAATACCCGAATCAATGAAATCAGTCAAATGGGATGTACACTTTAAAGTGAGGAAAGCATATAATTAAAATCAATCAGCAAAGTCAATCACTGCAACCAGCACAAGATCAATACGTGTATAATACCTGAGAACAATAAATGTAACAAACGCTGGAAAATGTAGCAGCATTTCAATATCTCATTCAAGAATTAATAACTCAAATGAATTGCACGTTAATGGCTCAGGTTGCTTTCAGCCTTGTGCTTGGGAAAATATATATTTCACCACTAGGAGGAGACTCCTTCCCTCCTAATAGTCCTGGATGAGGATTCATTGCTTTCAAAGTAAAGGCATTTTTCATGTTTTACTTTTCCGAAGTATAATGGCATTTTCCTGCCTCCTTCCACGCACATGGGGGTGGAATATGGCCCTTCCGCCATCCCACCAGCATGTCACTCCTCTCGTCTTAAACAAATGGGGCAGCCGCAGAAAGTTGCCGGGGGCTTGTAATGTAAAACTGCAGCTCACGCTCGTGAGGCTGTCAAAGCTCAGAGCCCTGTCTCAGCAAGGAAAAGCCTGTTTCCCTCCACATCACATGCATGGTCCCGTCTGGCAGGATGCAGCTGTGCCAGGTCACGTGTGTGCTGGGTCGCAGATACAAACACATGGGAAAAAAGTCTCTGAGGGTTTTCCTGAAGTCAGTGCTTGGTTTGCAGCTGTTCAGAGCACACCTATGGGTACGGGCTGGATCTTTTACTTACACAGAAGACGGGTCCTTGCTCTGAAGTGAAAATTGCAGCGGGAATCTTTTCTTCCTATATGTACTTCAACTTTTCCAAGTTTTTACTCTTGCCTACCTCCATCTCTTTATTCAGCCCCTGCCTATTAGCATTTGTGTTTAAGTCTTTCCTACATACCAGGTGTTTTCAAACATCTGCTGCTTCCCAGTCATTTCCTTGGACTGTAATTCCACCCCGACCCTCTTGTCCGCTCTTTGAACCCTTACCCACCACAAACAGAATTTCCACCTCTCTGTTTAGCAGTGTCTGCTACTCAGGCCACAGAGGGCCAGACTTTCAAAAGAGCCCAGTTCCCAAAATGCCTCTTAGCTTAACTCTTCCCAGAGTTGTGGGAGAGTTCACTATTTCCAAAGATCTGCCTAACCCCCTTGAGACTGTGGCCGCGTGGCATGTCGTGTTGCCTTCGGTATCCCGAATCCTCCAAAAATCCTGTACTCCTCCTCATATCCCCTGCCCCTCATCCTTTTGGTACCACTTTTGGTAGCTAACCTCAGTCCCGCTGACCATATAGGCTGCCCCCTTGTTGGCAACTACACGGTCTTTTTAAAGAGATGAAGGCAAGGGGTTGGACTTGATGATCAGTTTAGGTCCCTTCTGACCCTAGCTGCTATGATACTATGATACTATGGAAGGGACAAGCCAACAGCCATGTTTCGTGGGTAACCAGCCAGGTACCAATCGAGCCCAAAGCTAACCCTATGCTATAGGCTAACTATCTCACCATTTATCACATATCCGTCTTTTTCCACCACCTAAGTGGTGATGAGACCTATGGATCTGCTCAATCTACTGTTAAAGAGAAACATAAGCAGGGACTGAAGGAAAAAAGCGTTCAAATTGGAGCGGGATTTTTCCAACCAGTGTGACCTGCCTGCAGTCCTCAGGCTGAAATCTTATAAGATGATCTAGAAGAGAAGGGATTATCTGTTTGGAGAAGCAGCCAGGCTTTAGTTATGGCTTCTGCGGTGCAGCCAGAGCCACTCTGTGCTACAGGAGGACACTAGAAGCAATCCAATGATGGGGGCTGAGACATCCAAAGGCACACGTGTCCAAAATGCATTCTCTTAGCTGTGTTTTCAGAGCACGACACAGTGGGGACCCAAGGGACTCCTACCCTTGCGGCCTCCTCTATCTTTCCGTGGAGTTCAGGGAGGGACCTGCAGGGCAAAAGCCCTGGTCTTCTGACCACCAGGTGCTGCCTGGCAGATGTGTACCTTGCAAGCTCTTTGAAAACTGGGGCTATGGCTGCTTTGAAATATAACGGAGGCACCTCCAGCGGCTGCTTCTGTGTGGTTTATTGTTATGCAAATATTGGTTAGCTGATGGTGTTTTTCAAAGCACCGTAATACAAGGAAACAGCACTCTATGAATTAATAAACAACAACAACAAATAATTTACTCCTCACTCAAAGCCTATTGTTCAACGAGGCAGATTAAAGGATTGCACAATGTTTTGTAATAATCCGCACAAAGCTGCAGGCAGAGGGCCGGGCTGCCTTCAGGCACAAGACTGGAGTAACCCCAGGCATCGGACTCGGCTCATCTGACGGGGCATAACTAAGGGCCCGATCCGAAGCCCACGTCAATCAGCTGGAAGCTTCCCATTGGTGTTGGTAGGCTTCGTTAAATAGCATAATTATCATCAAGAGAACTTGCTCAAAATCTCATAAAAATGACAGAGGCTTTGTTTTGCTCCTTTTCCAAATGGACTGGTGGTTTTTTCCCTCTCCCTCCCATATTTTCTGCTTTTTAACTGAAGCCTTTGTTTGAAAAAAAACAAACCAATTGGTATTTTCCCTGAACTTGGAAAGCACGTGACTGCATTTACAGAGAAAAAGTGACATGAGCAAAAGCAAACATATAATTGGGAGGAAAAAAAAATACAGGGTGTTTTGAGAAAATCTAAACTAATCTGCAAAAAAGTTTTCATTTTTGGAAAAAAGGCCATAATTTGCCAAATCATGCCCCCCCGCTTTCTTCAGAAAAAAAGCCAAGCAGCTCTGATCACTGGTGGGTGGAAGCATTTGTTTGCACATTGTAAGTCTTTCCTAGTTTTCTGTGACTCAGGCAGGGACCTTAGGGAAAACGCTGAAACATTTCACAATTCCTCTTAGTAAGGAACTGCTTGACAGAGGCTTTGCTCTCTGTGTAGAGCAGGAAGAAAGGTCACCGTTGCTGGGTCTTCCTGAACGACCCCATGAGGTCGTGACTTATAGGCACTGGAAGCAAAGACATGTCCTGCATACAAGATAACAACAAGCTATTGTTGGGTCCACTTTCAACAATTTAGTTACTGTTTCAGCCAGCCTCCCCTCACAATCCCAAGGACATGCAACAGGGATCTGGGAGCAGCAATTTCCCCTTCACCAGGGGTATCTGAGACATAAGGGGAAGGGAGAGCAAGAGACTCAGGGAGTGTAGGGGACACAGTGTTATTGTCCATTTGTTCCCTGCCTGCCCCGCTCTTTCGTCCTTACTTCTGAGTAAAGAAGAAAAACGGAGATCTGTCAGAGGCCTCAGGAGCAGAGATGACGCAGAGCTACTTGCTCGGAGCTAGGGACCCCGTTCGCAGGTCCTAGGTCCGAGCATTTATAATCCTCGAACACAAATCTTGGCTCTCTTCCCATTCCTTAGTGTTGTCCATCAAGCCTGACAGACACAAGCCTTTCTCAATGGCCCTGATACCCCTTTCATTTCATCATTTGCCTCTGCATGGCTTGTGGGGAGAACCATCCCTCTCCCCGCTCCGTGTGCTCTTTCTGAAGGCAGGTACAACGCCGTGCCTGAGGCCCTGCTTGTGGCCTCGGTCCAGCAGACTGGCCGTGGCGGGGGTCCGTGGGCCTGCTCTCTAGGACCTTCTCGCATGAACTTGACTGGTCCCTTGCTCCGGTGGGTCTCCCACGGCAGCTCACATCCTGCTCAGCATATGTTCAGAAAGGGGCTCTTCAATAGCCGAGTCCCTCCTTGCAACCTCAGGTGATGTTGCAATGATCTTTGTGTATTTGTGCAAGACAGCGACAGGCTGCTTTTGCCTGCCACACTCAGTCCCCAGGATCCCTGGGCACTAGGGCTCCCTGGGGCTCAGACCTGGCTTTCAACAAGCAGCACATCCCCAGCAAGCTCTGTTTTCACCAGGAAGGAGGTAAACAGGGCAGCTTTGAACCCGTCTCCCCTGCTTCTGTCCCCAGCCTCTGGAGCCTTTCTGAGCCACATGGGACAGTGGAAACACATGTAAAATCAGATCTTCTCCTTGCACCTCTCCTCTTTGCTGTGACAAACCCTAACTCCTCCCCATTTTGTGGACCTGCAATTAGCTGCAGCTCTAATCTAGTCCTGTCCTGAATGAATTGTCTGCCTGGATATTCAGGCTGTGATATGGGATCTCGTCAGACTGTTTGAATGGGAAACAATTTCCCACCAGGAAATTAAAAATGCACAAGAAGGATGTCCCAAACACTGAGTTTGCTGAGGGAGGCAGGAAGGAGGGAAGGGAGGAGAGGACAGAATTGACAGGCAATGGGAGATGAATGGAGGGGAGACTGAGTCCTAAGAAACTCTCCAGTTAGATTAACCCATCAGCAGGATGTGCCCCCCCCTTGTGCTGCAGCTGAGCTTTTCAAGCTAGAACAGGGGCAGGCAATTATTTCAGGCAGAGGGCAGCTGACTGAGTTTTGGCAAGCCATCGAGGGCTGTGTGACAGGCATCTAGGGGCAGATAAATATTATTATAAATTTTTAGAGGCCCCGCAAGCCGGATAGATTGGCTTGGCAGACTGCATCTGGCCTGCGGGCCGCATTTTGCCCACCCCTGAGCTAGAATGATACCATGGGGCACAGCCTGCTCAAATACCCATGTGTGGCTCCACGCAGGGGAACCCTCCAAATGTTAAACCCCTTCACTCTCACAATACCCCAGGGGTCCAGGCTAATAGGGGAATTTTGTCCTTTCTTTTCAGAAGTCAAAACAGATGTTAGGCAGCACCTGGCCCTGATCTAATGAGCTGAATCAAATGGTTTGGGGTCTCCACATGCCTCTGCTGTAGATATACTCCTTCCTTCATTCCACATCCATCATACCAACCCACTAATGGTGTTGACAGAGTTGTCGATTTTAAGTATTTTGATGTGAGACACAACGGGCACATTTCCCCTGTGGGTCCACAGCAGGAGACTTAAATGACCTGCTGAAAGTCAATGGCAGGGCAGGA